TTGGAAGAAGACACTAATAAAATGACACTTTCCCCATTAGTAAACACATACATTATAAAGCACTTCCGTTTGGTAGGGCTGACCACATTCACCCACTGATTTTGACTTTCTTGGCTTCTCTTCTGATGCCTCTTCTATCAATGCGGCCAGCCATACAAGAAAGACAGATCAATGAAGCTCCACAACAGCCCCCACTATTATAATCTGTGCCCACTCAGAGATGCCTCGCTCTCAGGTCATTAGCCCCTCATCTTCAGCACCTCCATTTGTGTTGGGGTTCATGTTTTCACCATATTTTCCTACTGAAATCAGAGTTAAAATACATCTAGACATGTTCTTGATGCCAATAACTGGTCATTGACAGTAACCTGTGAGTAACTTCTTTCTGATTGGCCACAATGATGTTCAATTCAGGCTGGAATTCATCAGGATTACTATTCCCATATAAATTTATTTTACAATTTCTAAATTAAAAACACAAACTTTTTCAGAGTAAATCCAGCCATTAGTTCTTTTTTTCTGGTTTGAATCTGAAAACAGTCACACTAACAGTTGCTTATCTCTGATAATATTAATAATATTGTATCAAGTCATTGAGATGTCTCAAAGCACTTCGCAGAATATACTGTAAAGAGGATTGACTTGACATTTTGTAGGCGAAACACGGCAGCCAATTGCAGATAATACTGCCCGTTATTATGAAAAGATCTTGAAGAAAAAACACTGATCCGAAATGCCAAATATGCCTTCAAGCACCACAAACAGTAGACCACATATTGTCATCAAGTCCAGCCATAGGGCCACTAGAATACCTGAATCGACACAATGTAGCTAAGTATATCCATTGGACAATCTGTAAACACTTTGATATTGATGTAAACATCAACTGGTGTGAACATCAACCAACAAAAGTGACATCACAATAATCTGGGACTCACAAGTGCATACAGGTGAACAGTAATCGGTAGTAAACTAGATAACCCGCTGCCCCACTCCCAAAGGGATGACAATGTACGAAATACGGAATTAGAGAAGATCAGAAAAAATGTTGACCTACAAATTGAATACATGTAGTAGGACAATCATACAGTAGTTCATATAAGCATTGGTACAACTGGAACTGTTAATAAGACAATTCAGAAATGGCTTGACAAGATATTCTGTACAAAATGTCCACCTGCTGCAGAAAGTAGTTAATTTTGAAAGTTCAAATTTACTAAGAAAAGTAATATCCATTCATGGTGTAATATAGCAGTGTTGTTGGTCTGGCTGGCCCAATAGTGAAAAACACTTAGAAACACTTAAGTGAAGTAATATATGAACCATTTCTGGGACATAGCTAACAACTGCAGATAATTTAAACTACTGAGTCTGCAAGAAATATTAGCAGTTTATAGCAAACAAATCAGACTGGTTTGTTTAAGTTAAAACTTTCCAAAACACAAAACCACAACTTTTATATTTTCAAAAAGCAAGGTAAAAATTACAGAGCAACCTTTTCACTTCCTACAGTAAAATGTAACCATTCTGCTTTGTAGTAAATCACGTCACATCATGTCACGTCTGCCCAAATTTGAACATCTGTTCAAATAATAAACACTACAAAAACACTAAGCAATTCAGCTTCATCTGCACATTATGTACATCTTCCTATCAAAGAGGACCAGTCACTGGCCGCAGGAACTCTTCGTCCTCAGCTCCCATTAGCCCTGTAAGTGATAGCCTTAACGAGTAGGGTAGTCCTTGCTGAGCAAGCAGTGGGAAGTTTGCCAGGCAATGCTCTCAAAGCAGTTTTGAATGGTTAAGATTCCAGCAGTACCCAAAATGCACACTCTGGAGTCCCCAAGCCTTGGCTCTTGCCATCCGTATATTTTTCACCGCCAAATATACAGTCAATTCACTTTGTAGTATATTCTGCAAAGCGCTTTGAGACATCTCAAAGATGTGACATCGCACTATATCAAATGCAAGGATTATATTACTATATTGTTATAACCTGTGGCTAATACTTTCCGGAATTAGATTAGCAGGATGCGGGCCTCCAAGAAGAGACAGGACATTCCATTAAACATCGCTGGAATTTCCAATGTTTAGATGGGTTTGGTTTTGATACTCTTAAACACCGTAATGGGTTTCTGCATGACACACGGCTGGCAAAATAGAAGATAAAGCACAACAAATCCTTATGTTGTCATTTAGTAGGACTACACTAGATTAGGTATAATTCACCTTTCATTTTACTGGTACTTGAATCACTTGTCTAGAAGTCTAGATAGATGAGCTACCGAGAGAGATTACATATAACAGCAGAAAAGAGTGCCTTGAGGGAAATATTTGTTCACATTTGTTTTACTAAGAGCAACACAACTTAAAGCAAATCATTTTGGAATTACAGTTCCAAAATGTTTGCTTTACTACTGCTTTATACTTTGGAACTACAGTTTCTTCCAAATAGAGATGGGAAATAGTTGTAAATGAATCTGTGGTACCCACTTACTAGAAACATTAATATAATTACATTAATTAATTAATGGAGTCCTGTAGCTCAGTGGTTAGAGCACTCGCTTTGCAAGTGAGAGACCTGAGTTCAATTCCAGGCAGAGGGCGAAACCTTGGGCAAGTTTCCTTACTCCACACAGAGCCTAATAATAATCCCTCCAAAAAAAACAAAAACAATAATTAAATTGGTCATTTTCAATCTACGACTGTTTGTGGGGCATTGCTGTGCGCAATTGGCTGCCGCGTTCGCCCACAAATATACAGTCAATTCACTTTACAGTGTGTTCTGTGAAGCGCTTTGGGACGTCCTCCTGACGTGAAAAGCGCTATATCAAATGCAAGGATTATTATTATTATTATTAAATCAGACAATAGATCATCCATTTGCTCCCTGCGTTCAGCGGCCACTGGTCTGCTTCATGCCCCTGCCTTGCCCGCCCCACCATCGCCAATCAGGCCATCAATCTTTCTGCCTCCATTCTCCGGAACCCCATCGCCTCACCTCTTTCGAGATCCCTCTCAAGGCATTGCTCTTTGACTGTTCCTTCGGCCGTCTTCCCACTCCTCACATAGCCCCACCCCTCTCAAATTCAACCGCCAGCTCGGGTGCAAACCCTTGATTGTCCAACGCCTTGGGGTGTCTTCCCAACATGAAAGGCGCTATACAATGCAACTTGTTGTTGCATTACTGTATATGCAGTGCCTAACACTGGATTTACAAAATTTATAATGCTAATTTACAACCTTATGTTCTGTAAAACGCAAGAGAAATGCACATACATGAATTAAAAAGTGGGAGAAACTTAATATTGCAATACACATTTTGCTATTCGGACAATCTTTGAAAAGAATTGCTCACTGAAGGTGATAAATGGACACGTGGGTGGGCGCTGCTTTCCACCTTTGATTTCTGACCGGCGATTTCCCAAAGTCGCAAGAAGCCCCCTCCCCCCCCCCACCCCCCAAAAAAAAATAATTACTAAAAACACTTAACATATGCAGTATAACAACAGCACAACAGATAACCAACAGCGCGGCGGCGCCGAGCAAAGACCGTCTGTGGCGTCTCAGCGGCCGGTGTACATGTCTCTCCAATCATCCGCACCGAGAGGGCAGACCCGGTTGTGAACTCGTTCAATTTAACGTCACCGAAAATAAACGCAGTAGTCAAAACCCTCGTGGAAATAATCCGAACTGTGGTATGAGGGGTTGCGACACGGCACGGCGGCTCGGCGTTTATACACACCAGCGCTTCAACACACACACACACACACACACATACATACACACACACACTGCACAAAACGTGCGAGTTGTTGCACCAACTCCACGAGCAACGCAACGAACACGACACTTCCACACCTCGGAGAGCAACCAATCTTCCGCTCTTCTTGCCGTAAAGAAAAGAAGCCGACAAAGCAAAAGAAAAAGAAACGAAATCTTTTTTTTTAAAAAAAACTATACATTCCGAGCTTCTCTTTTATACACACACATATATATATATATAAATTTCTTTTAAAAAAAAACTTCTCTTGCGCGTGTAAAAAAAACACACGGGGGGGGGGGGGGGGAGAAAAAAAAACCTTTCTAATGATATATAACGGGATGACTTTTTTTCCCCTTTCTTCCTCGGTTTTGAAAACCCGGCCAAACAAAATCGAAGGAGAAGTGATGTATTTCTCGGTTTAACGGGAGGGAGGGAGGGAGGGAGGGAAGGGGAGAGAGGGAGGGAAGGGGAGAGAGAGAGAGAGAGAGAGGAGAGGGTGGGAGGGGATGGTGGAGGGGGAGAAGATGATAGACGATTCTTGTAAGTCAACGTGGATTGTGGGCGAGGCAAAAAGAAGACGCGGGTCTTTAAAAACACAGCTGCAAAGCACAGCGGTGGTTTGTTTCTCTCACCCCTTCTCTCCTCCCGACGAGTTTCTCGTCCCTACTCAACAAGGGACCGTTACACAGCGAGAGAGGAAAGGCAAGGGGACGAGAGAGAGAGAGAGTGAGTGAGAGAGCAGCAGATAACAACAACAACAACATGCGATAACTTTTTTCAACCCCCCCCCCACACACACACACACACAACAACAACATGTGAAAGACAAATGCTCTGCGGAGTTATTTCTCTCTCTCCCTCTCTCCCCCCCACCCCCTCAGCACAAACAAGAACACAAATACATTTTCACTTTGCCGGCGATGCATCCGTTTTTTTTTTGTTTGGAGACGAGCCCCCGAGCCCTTTAAAAACCAAACTGACGCATTTCCCCCCCTCAAAAAAATTTTTTTTAAAAAAAAAGGGCAAAAATCACGGATCACAACCCAAAATGGCGCTGCCTCCTCCTCCTCCCTCCCTCCCTCCCTCCCCCGCCAGAGATAAACAGCAGGAGCGGAGCCCCCGGAGAGAGAGAGAGAGAGAGAGCGACCAGGGGGACCCTCGGGGGGCAGACAGACAAGCCACAGGCTGGGCACGGCACGGCATCCTGCAGGCGTGTAAACACGGCGTTATTTACCTGCTCTCTGAGCCCCGTCCGTGCTCTCTTCTGCCCCGTTCTCCCCCTCCTCCTCCTCCTCCTCCCGCCGCCGCCGCCGCCGCCGTGACAGTTGCGAACACGCCGCGCGCTCTCAGCTTCAAAACTCTCCTCCAGCGCGCGTTAAACAGTCAGTCCCTGATCGCGGGGCTCGGGGCGGGGACTAGCGAAGGGCGGGGCGGAGAGGGGGCGGAGTTAGTCGGCTGACTGACTGACTGAGGAGTGTGGGGGGGGGGGCAGGGCTGGCTGGTGCAGTGGGCGGAGCTTGACTGAGGGGTGGAGCGATCTGCCACGCCTCCGCCCCGCCCCTCTTTCCTTCCACTACCAATCACACGCAGTTCTTTAACATTTCCCCCGCCCCCCCCCCGCCCGCTCCTATTGCTCTCCGCGGCAACGAATCCTGTTGGTCTCTTTGGCGCGTGACATCATCAGAAGACGCGGTCGGTTGGTCGACAGTGTTGTCAGTCAACAGTCCTCTCCGCCCATCGACCCGGACCCCGCCCCTCCAGGCGCAGCTTGGTGAGGAGTGGGGCGGAGCATCGCGGTGGATTGACAGGTGGTGGGCGGGGAAAGCCGTGGTGACGGTAGACAGGCATCCAGATTTGTGGGCGGGGCGAGTGGACTGTCAGTCACGAGCTGGAGTGGGAATCCTGTTCCCATTTGCACTGCAGTGTTTATTCGCTGTTGTAACCAACAAAGTGTTCTCCGTAAACAAAAAATGTCACAATAAACAAACTGAAGCGCTCTGAGACGCCGTCCGGCGTGGAGGGCGCTCTATAAATCTAAGTTGTTGTTGTTGTCAACATTGCCAATGTTACAGATGTCTTCGGAATCAAATGTAACGACATTCCAATCGAAAATTTACTCTTAATTCATCATTAATTCAAAATTTATTCTTAATTCAGGGGAAGAGTCGCTGCTTCCCAGCTTCGCTCTTTCCTCTCCTGCCACTCCCTTCGCGAGCCCCTCCAATCGGGTTTCCGCGCTGCTCACAGCTCCGAAACTGTTCTGGTCGGGATCACAAACGACATCCTGTCTATCTGTGAACAGGGCTCCCTCTGCCTCCTAGTCCTCCCCTTCCTCTTTGCTGCCTTCGATACCGTGGACAACTCCATCCTCCTGTACCGCCTCTCCTTCTCAATCTTCAAGGTTCTGTCCTTGAAGGTTGAGGTCTTATCTCGCACACCGTCTCCACTTTATCTCCGCCAACGTCTTCTCTTCCATATCAGGACAGTCTCATGCAGTGTTCCTCAGGGCTCAATTACGGAAACTCCCTCCTTGTCGGCCTCCCCAACTCTTCCCTCCACAACCTGCAGATCATCCACAACTCTGCAGCTCGTGTCGTCTCCCACACAAGGCTCCATGACGCCATCACCTCCACCCTCACCCGGCTTCACTGGCTCCCCATTCCTCAGAGAATAGAACTCAAAATCCTCATCCTCACTTTCAAGGCCCTCCATGGCCTTGCTCCCTCCTACATCTCTGATCTGCTGACCCCCTATCAACCTGTCCACTCCCTCTGCTCGGTAGGGTCCGTCCTGCTCCATATCTCCCGTCCAACCCACCCTACCATCAGTGGCCGGGCTTTCAGCCTCTCTTCCCCAACTCCATCCCACACTCCCTTCGCTTTGCTCCCTCCCTTGCCTCCATCAATGCATGACTCAAGACCCTTCTTTTTGACCATACCTTCAGCTGCCCTCCTACCTCTCTGCCCTCCCTCATCCCAACCCTGCCCCCCCCTCCCCCAATGCTCGAGTCCTGATCCCTGGCTGTTCAGCGACTTGGGAAATCCTCCTGATGTGAAAGGTGCTTTACAAATGTAATTTTGTTGTTGTTGTTGTAATAATCCCTCCAAAAGAAAAAAATATGATCACTCAATTCATGACTGTTTATGGGACACTGCTGTGTGCAATTGGCTGCTGCATTTCGCCCACAAAACACACAGTCACTGCACTTTACAGTGTCTTCTGTGAAGCGCTTTGGGACGTCCTCCCGACGTGAAAAGCGCTATATCAAATGCAAGGATTATTATTATTATTATTTTACAGTATATCCTGTGAAGCACTTTGAGGCGTCTTGAAGACGTGATAAGGCGTTATATCAAATGCAAGCATTATTATTATTAAACTCATTCAATTATCTCTTAAATCTCCTCTCTTTATCTGCAGCTATTTAAAGTATGTTGTTTGTTTTGTTATTTTCGCCACAAGTGATGTTCTCTCCATTTGGCCATTCTACTGAAGAGTCTTCATGTCTCTTCCTAACCCCCACCAACCTACCCACTCCTTCCGCTCAGCCGGCTCCAGCCTGCTCCACGTCCCCCGACCCACCCGCCCCACCATTGGCGGGAGAGCCTTCAGCCACTCTGCCCCCAACCTCTGGAATTCTATCCCTAATCACTCCACCTCGTCCCCTCCTTAGCCTCCTTCAAATCCCGCCTCAAGACCCTCCTCTTCGACCATGCCATCGGCCACCCCTCTTCCCCTCCCCTCCCTTCTCCCCCCACTGACTCCAGCTCGGGTCTGAAATGCTGTATTCTGTCCAGCGCTATACAAATGTAATCTTGTGGTTGTTTTCCTCCCCTGTATGATTATGTTTGTTAACATAAACTGATTATCAAACATCGCTAAATCATCAGAATCTACTTATTATCACTGCAAACATTTCATGACTTACTCTCTGAAATTTATAAAACAAGTATTTATGAATCATTAGACACTTGGATTATATATAGAGAGAAAAATATAAACGAAGATTACATTTGGGCCCACTATTCGCAGCGAAGCTTTCAGCAGCTACCGCAGCCCCTCAACTGTCTGAAATTGCCTCCCAAAATCTCTCTGCTTCACAACCTCCCTCTGCTTTCAAAACCCTTCCCAAGATTTTCCCCTTCAACCATGCTTTCACTCATCGCTCTTCAATCATCTCCTATTTCCTACCTTTCTTGAATTTCTGCTCCAACTAGCGCAATTTTTTTTAATAATAATCCTTGCACTTGATATAGCACCAAATCATGTCTTCGAGACATCTCAAAGAGCTTCACAGAATATACAGTTAAGTGAATTGACTGTATATTCTTGTACAGTATATGATTCTAAATAATAATACTCAACCACAACTCATTATAGTCCCCTAGAATGTTTGGTTCAGTAATGGTTGAATGCTTTTGACTGTTTTGATCAACTGTATTTCTGGAACTTGTATACCCTCCATTATACAAAGAACATATTGAACATTATATGGTCATTTTTTGGAATTTATTTAATCTCTTGTGGGAAGTGACTAATGCCAGGTCAGAATTTTAAAAATCATTGCACACAGTGCATTTTGTCTACTACTGGAGATAATCAAAGAAAGAAATCCAGGCTATCTATTTAACACTGCTTAATTCTACTCTGGTTGATTGATAACTTTACATTATTCCAATCTGGACACATAACCGTGAAAGAGTATGTGATTATCTAAACCTATAACTTACATGACTGTTAGTAATAACTTACTTATCCAGCTCATTTTAAGGGTTGATATAACATTAAAGAGAAAGCGTCATCAAGTGGGAGAAGTTTCTGTTGAAAACAATAAAGCAATAAATAACAGGAGTAAAGCTACAGATAAACAAATTACATTTGTAAAGGGCCTTTCATGTCAGGAAGACGTCCAAAGGCAGGGATCCGAGCAGTATATGATTCTAAATAATAGAGTTGGGATAAAGATAGAAATTTAAGAGAAAGAATGAGATACCAGAAATCATTTCCTGATTACAATACTGTTCATGTAATTATGAAGACACTGCAGCATTAGCCTTTGTTTATATATAAGATTTTTATTTATTTTAAAATCCAATTGGTTTCGGTAAGAAAGAACATGAATTTTTATTGCGCCTTATCATATCAAAAGGGCTTAAAGTGTTTCACAGATAATTGCTGTTTTTGTGGACAAATATGGCAACAATTTGCACCAACAGGTCCCACAAGTAGTCATAAAATGAATGACCAATTAATCTAGAAGAAGTTGCCAAGACACCAGGAGACACTTTTTTTTAAATAATGTCATCAGTTGTATGCAAAATCAAACTGCGTTAAATAAACTCTATCGAAAAACGTTAGTTCCTGGAGCCAATAATTATTTTATTATCTAGTGATAAGAGGCCACAAAATACGTTGATACATTTGGCTGTTTATTTTGTCGTATTTCATACCAATTCTGGAGCAACCACATACTTCAGATAATCCCCTGTGACAGTACTTCATTAATTAATCAAATTGCTGCACCGTCATTAGCGCACAGTCAGACTTAAATTATAATAAATTAAAGTTGCTCATAACTCCCAGGTAATCCATTCTTTCAATGAAATTGTAGGAATAGTTTTATTAAAGGGACACAGTCGTATAAAAAAAATTATATTAAACACTTTTTTATTTGCAGTGCAAGAAGACCCAGACTATTAGCACATCATCTTTGTTATCATGATGTCATTCGCAGATAGAACAATGATGTGCTTCATTGTAATTTATAGAATATATTGCGTATTTGTAAACAAAAATCTGAAACATGACCAATATAAATGTAAACAGAAACTGAAACATGTCTAATACAAATGTAAACAAAAAACTGAAACCTGTCAAATTTTAGGATGGATCTGCCCTGCTTACTCTTGTGCACCTGCTGGTGGTTTTTATCCCTTTACTCTGTATTACATACAATGTTATAGCATAGAAATAGGCTATTTGGTTCAACTAGTCAATGTTGGTATTAATACTCTAAATGTTGCCTCCTAATCCCCTCTCATCTATTCCTGTCTCCCTTTGTATGCTTTGTCTTAAATATATTAATGCTGTTTACTTCAACCACAGTGTTAACAGTTCTATAGTCTCGTCCACATTTCCTTGAAGAAATTCCTCCCAAACTTCCTTTTAGATCTGCTACAAGTCATCTCGGAAGATGTTTGCATTAATTTATTGATGGTTTAATTGCCTTTTTAAAAGGATTATTTTTTCCAGTAGAAATGCAGCCAGGATGGAGCGAGGGACAGTTATAGTGTGAACGTGACTTTGATGCTAGGAAGAGAGAAAGATTTGAAGGAATTGTACAGGCTATCAACTGATTTGTCATGAATCACCCATA